CTTCCAACCCAAACTACTCCATGATTCTATGGAACATTTACTGGGATTTCTCCAAGAGAATCAGATCACTAACAGACTTGGACTGCGGGTAGCTACCAGAGGACAGATGGAAGAGATAGGCATTTCAAATAAAAAGAAAGTCTTTAAATACGCTTAAAAAGAAACAAATAAAAATCCCAAACTAATGGAATGACTACAACTCTGGTTTTGCTGCCTAGACCAGACTTACGGGTTGCACTGTTGTGTATTATGCAAGAATATATTGCAGTGAAGTCCATGATTGGAGAACATAGATTTCAATTATGGCAGCATCAATCCATGTTGTTGGGTATATTTAAAAATACACTGTCATATGGAAGTGCAGCACCTTACTTCAGTTGTGAAAGAATTTATAGCTTTTAAAATACAGAGCAACAGCTTCTTCCCTACTATCTATGATAAAATTGCATGTAATGTTTTAATAAGAACCAGAGTGTGTATGCTGTATTCTGTTAATTGCTTTTGTGAGAAGAGCTTGTCCCATTGCAGTCACTCTGGCTTCGGTAAGACTTCGGTGACAAAATAAAGAACATCTTTCTTTCTTCTAGTAGTATCTATGAGAAATGGATGCCTTCTGAATTGAAGCCATGCAGCAGTCTGAAAAAGTGAAGTATTTGTGTTACAATTTCTACTAATTTATACTTCAACTTATGGCATTTCTAAGACGTACTGGCTAGCAAAGAACATATGAAAATAGCATGAAAGCAGCCATCACTGTTCAACTGCCATAAAGAATTGTTACAGATCTTAAATTAGAAGTTACTAGCATATTTGCCATTTTAGAGATGCAGGTATATTTTCAGTGCAGTTAGTTACATTGCATCCTACCAGGTTTACTGTGTTTCTTTAAAAAGCAGTAGCTGTATTAATTGTCACGCTGAGAAACAGCTAGGAGTTTCTACCTTAAATTAGGGAAGGACTCATGTTGCCACTTAAATTCACTGACCAGAAACAAGAGCAGAATATGGCAGTTAATTATTCAAATTTACAAATTCTGCTTATAGACTACAGTCTAATCCTAAAGACAGACAAAGAAGGGCTGTGTAAGCCTCCAGGGAAATTATAATAAACAATTTAATTATTAAATCCTTTTTTAGAAGAGACATAGATGGGTCTAGCACACAAATACCAGAAATAGGGATCTTTAGCTAGTTGCTTCTCAATACTGTGAACAGCCGTTAAAATTTGTTTTTTAAATGTTTGGGTTTTTTGTTTTTTAAAAAAGTTTGTTCATGTTCAGGACTAGAAGCAAGGAGTGTCTGGTATTGAGTGGAAAACAAAGTTAGTACTGTTCCTGTGTAACCCAATACTAATCTGTGCTACACAGGTACAGAAGCAGATAGAATCTTAAGAAGCTTAGAAGGAAAGCATAAGGAGGAAAAAAACCCAATACCTAATGAAATCATCTATATCCATTGAACGGGCTCGTTTTTCAGAGTAACCTGTATTTTTTAGGACTGTCTGTATTTTCTCTGCAATTTTGAAGTTTTCTGGTATTTCCTGTCAATGGAAAATAGGATACAAATTCAATTTGTATTCCCAGCATAGAAAAAGTTCATTTAAATCATCTATTCTTTTCCTGCTTTTAGAATAGTTCTTGTTTCAAGTGATAGAAATAAGTTGTATTTTTTGTTGTATGGATTATTGTATTGTTCTATTCTTGCGTTTGAATTTTTATACCTCAGCTCATTCATTAGAAATGAATCACAACACTGCTGCTAAGCAGACATAGAACGGTTTCTTATTAGATCAGTAAAAGTCCTTGAGACATGTACGGCCAATATATAACATACCCGGCTTTCAGCTCTTTCACTCTAACTTAGTGATTTTTCTCTAAGAAAAGAGGTAAGTTCTTCCAACTTGAACATGTTAAGCTTTTCAATGTTAATTTTTTACTCTTATAAAAGTCAGTATGTAGGTCAGTACACAGAAATAGAATTTAATATATTAAAAAAGACCTTACTGTATTATGTAAGGAACAATGAATTCGGTAATTATGATCCAGCAACTGCTCTACAGCACTTGACCTGAGAGAAACACAAGTTTAGAACGAAAATTGAGCTTTAACTAGGGTTTTTTTTTTACTTGATTGGTTGTTAATCTTTACTATAAAAAACTGTAACGACTACATACGAGCTTTAAAGTTGTTCTTTTTAAACAATTGCCTAGTTTTCTTCTAAAAAAAAAAAAAAAAGAAAAAAAAAAGCTTCTGACCTCAGCATAAATCCTCCATCATGGTTTATCCCAGACTGTGCTGGCATGCATATAGCACTGCTATGCATTCGCACAACAGAAACAGTTACCTGGATGGGCTCTCAAACTTTGAAATATTTCCTTTAATAGAGATTACTTACTTAAATGCTGCAGCGAGTGTCTTGTTTTTCCTAACAAAGGCTATCCTTACCAGACCATCCCACTCCTGAAATCAAAAATTTCAGAATTTACACGAAGGAACATACAGCTACTACAAACAAGAACAGTCACTACTGTCAATTTCACAGCAATATTTAACACAAAGAAGACTGTTTCAGGAAAATGTCCTTCTAAACAATACAAAACCAGTCTAGTCTTGGACAAAGCAATACAAATGGAGGAGAAAATATTTCACCCACGAAGCCTTTTGAATTTACTTTTTTGTGCTTAGGCACTATTGGCCAGATTTCATGTAGTGAGAGGGCAGATACTTGAAGAAAATTCAGCTAAACTTGGGCAAGGCTGAAATGGTCTTGAAGATCAAAGTGTTTTAAAAGTTAACTTTAAGAATACGATCCTGTAACATCTGTCTTCTCAAGATTATACACACTCATCTGAAGATAAGACTTCTTATATATACTCCTTTGATCATAACCAACAAATTCATCAGCCAGAAGGGTGTCTGGGAGATACAAATCACAATGAAAGGGACATTATTCCTAGCAATTCTCCAACTGACATGAAGATGGTCCCTCAGTCTTGTCAAAAATACTGGACTCAAAGCTGCACCCAAATTGATGCATGTTCAGGTAACATCCTAATGCAAGCCTGATCAATAGAGGAGTAAGTACTTTGGAATTATGTAAATGCCAGTGAATAGCTGTGTGGTGAACACAGCACATGGAACTGAGTAGTCAGTGAAAAGAAAAATGAAATTAAGTATTATCACTAATATGTTGTGTCATTGTTAGAGTATACGATGCTCACCTGGAAGTTGATAGGTGGTGGTGGGTTCTTTGGCTCTATTCTGACAACACTGGATTCAACTTTGGGAGGAGGCCTGAAGTTATTCTTTCCAACCTGATAGCCAAGAGAAGTCAGGCAACTGTATCAATAAGCAGCAAATCCTCACATTCTTAGAAACATTCTTCTATCATTGGTAGCTCTGTGAGCTAACACAGAATGACGTACCTTCATCAGATGGTCCACTCGAGCTAATAACTGAGTATTAATAGAGAGTCTGCAGTATAGTTTGGTTCCTGGTTTTGCAACCAAACGAAGTGCAAATTCCCTTTGAAACATAAGTATTGCACACCTGAGAATACCAGAAATGAGAAAATGAGTTCTAAGGAACCAACTTGTACATCAAAAGCCAACCAACACACTTGGGAAACACAGGATTTGCCTCAGTGCTTAGAAGAAATAAAAGTTTGTCATAAACAAACTCGTGCCTTGATTAGCTCAGAACATGTTAAAAAAAATAAAAAACAACACAAAATTTGGTGAAACCATCTAAATCTCCTTAAAGCTACAATAGAATTTGATTCTTTATACTGCTAATGGGTCAGGATCAAAGAGACAAAAGCTAGCCTCAGAGTTTTCTGCCTGACTGTAACACATCTTTTTGAATAATTCTATGATGTGTCCTTCAAATCCAAACTTTCTAGCTCAAAAAATTGACCAGAAATGTCACTAACATTAGCGCTTCAGTAAGAGAAATCAAGACCTGCTGACACATTGAACAACACAGAGAAGTACCTGGGCAGTTATTTTTTTAGACCAGTCAACAGGAAGTGTCTTGGCTTCGATCCTACCCTTTCCACCTTTCTTTTCTCAGGTAGGAAGGCATCTGAACTGCTAGGATACCCTATTTAGCCCTGGAAGAACAATTAGTTATAGTGCTAGTGCAAAGAGGAGCAACTCCTGTTTTCATCAGCTGGGCATTCACTGATGCCAAAACTAAATTTTCTCTTTTTGCCTAATACGTTGATATAAACTGATTTCTAGGCACTGGCAGGTCTCATATTACAGAAAAATTTTGGTGTGACTCTTATCCATCAAATTGGTATTTTAAGAACTAAAAAGATTTGATTTGGGAATATTTTTTAACTTTTTTTTTCTATCAGGTAATACAGAGCTTTGTTCTTCCACATACCTGAAAAAAGGTCTATGAAGCAACAACTTGAAAACAAAAGGTGAAGAAATCTGAGGAAAAGAATAATAGTGTTAGTATAATTTCTGGACAATTATCATTCAAAAACAAAGAAGTTCTGCCACGTTGTTTAGCCTATACCTGGTAAGGCAAGTTAGCCACACATGCATCAAAGAATGGTAAGTCAGTTTTCAGGATATCGCCAACCTTGATTTCAAGTTTGTTTGCCAGGCACCTGGGGGAAATACACTGTGGTTACCCTCAGAGAAATATGTTGCCAAAGTTTCTGCTGAAGCAGCTCCACTGCTTTAAGTGCTTGCTATTTCCACAGCTGATACTTACGTGCCCTGGACTCTCTTCTGAAGTTCACCAACAAGTCTAGGGTCAATTTCACAAGCAATAACCTGAAAACAAAGTATGTATCTGCAACTTTATGCAAGTCCTCCCAACTGGGATTAACATTTCAAACGTAAAAAAAACACTGTATCTATTGCTACAGGTTTAAATAATTCTTAGAAATTCACAATTAGGCTATGCACCTTCCTCCCTCCCCCAAAACATGGAAGTCTTACCACATAAATGGATAACAGCAATATAATTTGATAAAACCATACAAGGTTTACAGGAACAGCTAAAAAGTAATTGGAATTATGTAAATGTTGAGAAAAACATCCACAGAGTAATTCCACTTATTTGAATCAAGCAGATGAAGATCATTCTGTTTGCCATAGTCCAAGTCACAATGTGGTTAGAGCTTGGGAAGGTGTGTATAGGGGTTGTGGGATTTGCACTTACTTTTTTTACTTTCTCTAACATCTTTACTGTCAGGTTGCCAGTTCCTGGGCCTACTTCCAGAATGACATCTGTGCGTCGCAGGGCAGCCTAAGAACAAATGGCATTTCAGCTCTTTTTCGAGAACCACTTTCAAGCAAACGTTTAATTTTAAAACAAAAGGTATGTGCAGCTCAGTAAAAAGCCGAAACCAGCTAGCAGACAAGTGTGAACGTTGTTTAAAAAGGGACGGGAGAGAAACAGTGAGAACAATAATGTCTTACAGCTAATTTATAAGAGATCTTTGGCCAAGGGTAGAAAAATAAGCAAGCTGCCACATTTTAAGGGGGGAAAAAAAAAAGGCAGTATCAAGGCAGTAACTGCAGTAGAGAAGACAGGTCCCTCCACAACCACGGAAAGGCCAGAGTCACGGAGCAGGACCGTGCATCAAGACACGCTTTCCCAGGCAGCTCTCAGCCAGCTCAGCCCGGCGCA